TTTGAGTTTTTCTTATCATCTCTTCGTTCAAGACACTACTCTTGGCGGAATCCATAGAGATCACACCATCCGGAGCAGAATTTGACAATGACGTTCTAAATGTTTCCCATGAATCTGGTAGGGAACCAAGTAGAAGCAAGCCTTGAATTTCTTCATCAAATTTGATGCCCATAGCAGATAATTGGTTCATTATCCCTTGAAAATTATTCATATGGTCTGTCATCGGCGAACCATCATGATACTTCAAACTCAACATCTGCTTTATTAAGAACATTTTGTTGTTGCCAGTCTTTCGAGCATACAAACTTTCAAAATGCTCCCATAGGGTTCGAGCATGTGTTTCCCCAGAAATATGGTTCAACACATTATCGTCGACCCATTGCCTAATGAATCCACAAACCTGTTTATGCAACAGATTCCACTCTTCATCTGTTATATTATCAGGCTTTACAGTGGTAAATACTGGTTTATAAAAATTCTTGACATAAAGCAGATCTTCCATTTTCCCCTTTCAAATGGCATAATTAACACCATTCAAAGTAACCATTCTACTTGTGTTGACTTCCATTGTTTTCCCAAAAAATATAGTTATTTCAAATCAAAGTAAATCTTTTCTGATGTGGAAGTTCAGACAGTGCTGCAACCACAGAGCATACTCAGATAAAACCTTGGCTTTGATACCAGTTTGTTGGGAAAACGCGGACAAGCACAAAAGTATATATGGTAAAAGTAATGGAAATAAAATGGGAAAATAACGACACCAAGAAGTTTACGTGGAAACCCTTCTGAATAAGGGAAAAAACCACGGGCCAAGAGGAGCAATTGATATTATTATAGTAAGGAATTTTACACTGTGTAGTCACGAATACAACACTCAAAGTGACTACTACACACTCAAAAGGAACAATACTCTTTTGGTTTCCGTCTTTACTAAAATATCGCTCACACTCTATTTTTCTTCACAGACTATTTTCTTATATAGTCTATGGAATACCTCACTTTGCTCTCAAAATGGTTTTTCTCTCTAACTTGGTGTATTCTACAAGTGAGCAAGAATGCTCTATTTATAGAAGGATAAAACCATGCCTATGTCACTAATGACATATGTAAACATAACAAAGTCAAAAATGGTTGCAAATCTTACCAATTTGCCAACTACCAAATCTTTTCTTTTCAACTCAATTACTATTCCTTTTTAACAATTGCTTGTACCAATTGAATAGCTTAAGTTGACTAAAACAATGGGATGGATTCAACAATACGTTCACTAAAATCGTTGCAAAGGCAGCGATTTAAAGTACACAAAACCCCAATAAAATCGTTTCCAAGGCAGCAATTTTAAAAAAATATAATAAATCGCTCCTCCAAGAGAGATTTTGCTTAACACCGTTTAAATAAATCACTACATGAGTAGTGATTTTGCCCTTTTGGTTAGATTTTTTTTTTATGTACCCTTTTGCATTTTTTTTCAATTTTTTTTGCCCTTTAGGCTCCGCACTCAAATAAAGTATTGCTAATACACGAAATTGATGCATATATTATTTTTGTTAATATATTCTACCAAACAACATCTAAAAAATTAAAGCTTAAATTAAATTCTAAAATTTTCTAATACATATAAAGCCAGTGGCAAGCCACTGAGGGTGTCGACACTCCTTCATCTGAAAATTACACTATTTGTAGCTAGAGTAAAAATGTTTTTTGGTATATATATATTATATATTGACTCCTCTTGATTTCTACATGATTTTACTTCTTTATATTTTAACACCCCTAAACTAGAGTTCTGACTCCACTACGGTATATATATATATATATATATATATATATATATAAAGAACCGAAAGAAAAGAAGTAATTCTAATTATATCCAAAAAAAAACTATTAGTCACTCGTTGTATATACAATGTGTGTATATGTGTTGCATCTTATGTATCAAAATGTATATACACTACTATATATCATATTATATATACTTAAAAAAGATATATATAATGTAGAAATGGAAAAAATTGTACGGTGGCTGGGAGGAAATGGTTTAAAAGGGAAAAGGGTTAGAAATATACTCACACAACTTTGATTGAAATTACTAAAACAATTTTAAATTTTGGGTTACTGCACTATTTAATAGTATACTTTAAAGATATATAGGCACTCACGTAGACATCATTATAAATAATAACTTATCCAGCTAGACATTTATACATCTTTAAAATACACTATTAAATAATGCAAGGATAATAAATCTTGCCCAAAGTTTGATATTATTACAACAATTTCAATCGAAGTTCGAATATATTTCAAACTTTTTCCTAAAAAAATACTATTGAAAGAAATTTTAACTTCCTAAAATTGAGTACAAACATATGTTGTTTAATCTAAATGTAAGTAATTGTAAGACTATGTGATGTGCAAATTGTATGATCGGGTAATGAAGTTGTAATATACCTTTACATTTTATTAATATATAACCTAAATTAAAAAATATTTATGAAGAAATTTTACGTACACCATTGTGCATAACATATATTATGTTTCATATATTATGTTTCTCAACCACTTCATCGTGCATTTATACAAAGAGTCAGAGACATTACCTGATCATGAAACTCCAAGCTTGTGAATTACAATGTATTATGTTTTAACTATCAATTGTTCAGTATTTATAAATACTATTTACATTTTATAGTAATTAAGCATCTCCAGAATATTAATTTCACTCCCAAAATATTGAGCTTATTATTTAAAAATTAAATTAAAGTTAACTACTGTAAATACTACTCTATTATTTACCATCAACATAATTGATATACACACAATGTATACATGGGATGATTATCAATATATTATATATTTGGCTATCTAGTTTATAATATACTACCTATACATTTTATATATGTATTTTTGTAAATTAAATGATTGAACGGTTCAAATTCATATTTAATTAAGTGAAAATTAGAGTCCATATATATATATACCTTTTTAAAAAAAGATATTTTATTATAAAATATTAAAACCTTATATATGTAGAAATATTCAAAAGAAAGTATATCAATTACTTAGTGTTGCGCGCCTAGGAGGGCAGCGCGCTTTGGGATGCGGAGGGGCTATTATCGTCCAGCTCCCTAACCTAAAGCGGCACCGAGTTTGGACCGCAGGGAACCGTAGCATGCATAAAGACATTTTAATCAAAATAGAATATCAAAGTTTCAATCTATATAGCTAGATTTGTACTAATACTAGTTTGTAATTGTATATTTTGGTATTACAATATTCAATATTTTGGTATATTTTTTATTCGTATAAAATGTCATACCGATAATTAAAAATAATAAAAAATATTAATAGTGCTAGTCAATAAATGGAAGACAAACATAGTTCTTATGGAATTCATTATTTTTATATGTTTTTGGACTCATGATAAACATTGTTTTTTATAGTATACTGTGTTCACATTTGCTATTTTGCATTAATGGTGAAGATTTTATTGTAACTCTTTCGGTCTAGAATTATTTGTTATATTACGTTTTTCAAAAGTTAATTTAATTAATTTTTAAAGTTAAATTAGATCACACTAGTTCAATATTTTTTTAAGGAAATTAGATATTTCTAAAACTATATAAAAAGTATTATAAGTTACAATTTTTTACATATTATGATGAAATATAATTTGACTCTAAAAATAAAAATCATGACAAACAATACCGAACGAGAGAATACTAATTATCTAAAGATTTTAGAAATCAAGTATGTCTTTAGGAAAGAAAAGATGAATAAAACTTATTTATATTGGATATGTGTTTAAATTTATAAGTTAATTTACCTGAATATTTACACCAAATCAATACATGCATGTTATATGTTTAAATTTATAAGTCAATTTTCTTTATAAAATCAGGTAATGAAAATTATTTTGACTTGTTGTAAACCAAGTAAATTTTTTCCATTTTATAGTAATTCATTCGAATAAATATTTTTCCTGGTATTGTAATTTGTATGTATTGCTTATTCAAACAACACAAAAGTTAAAACGGAAATTAGAAACATAGTGCCCTCCATAAATAAACAAAGAATCACCTAATAATATTTACTAATAAAAATATATAGTACAAATAAATCAATCAATAGCGATAGTGAATCTAAATCTAAACCATAAATAAAAACGTGAACTCATCAATTCCGGCGAATAAAAAAACGCAAAATATCTCACAGATCAGAGATTTAAAGCATCAAAGCAGCAGCAAACACAGCTACAACAGCAGATCCGGCGACGGCGACTCTGTTCAAGGAAGCAGAGTTTGGAGATTCAGTAGGAGAACTTCCGGGAGCGGCGGCAATGGATGGAGGAGAAGCAGCACCGGAAGGAGACGACGCCGGAGTCTCGGCAGTTGGTGGAGCTGGTGGAGATGCCAATGGAGAAGATGCAGTAGTAGGAGGATTTGCAGGGGCAACGATAGGAGGAGGAGTCGCCACCGGTGGTGATGCTACCGGTGCCGGAGAACTCTTCGGAGAAGATGCCGGAGATGCTCCCGGTGCCTGTGCGAAAGCAGATCCGGCAATAAACGCCAACATTAGAGCAATAATCACTTTTGAGTATGCCATTTTTCGAATAAGAAGAAGCACAAAGAGTTATAATAAGAGGAAAATGTAAATATGAATTGCGAATACTTTTGATTTTTGAAGTAAAGGAGAGAAGAAGAGTGTATTTATAATTAAGGTTTAGATTAGTAGTAAGTAGGTTTATAATTAAAAATTAGTACGCGTAATTAGTAGTTGACAACTCAACGATAAAAGATATGACGGAGTCCAAGCTGGTTACATTTTTGTTTGCGTGTGAAGAGATAAATTATTATAACAAAAAATTGTTTGAATATTTCTCTGTACAATTACTTTTCAAATTTAATTTCTCATAAAATTTTGAATCTAAATTATTAGCAAACAAAAATGGTTTCCCTTATGATTGGTTTTCTTTTTCTTCGAAATTTTACCATTGACAAAGAGGGATAAGATTGTGCATATATTATCTTTTACATATTTTACTTATAAATTGTAAAGTTCAACTTCATAAATACAATTAAATTATATACGTTTTTTAATTTTATATCTATGTTATTTAGAGCGCAAAACACAAATATCACTCATAATGAGTTAACGCGTTTCCTTCAAGAAGAGTTAACATGATGTATATATGTTATGACTTATTAGTGGACGATATAACACTTATTGATGAGACACGAGATCAAATTTATGAAAGGTTGGAGGTTTAAAGATAAATTTTGGAGTCCAAAATATTCCAATTGAGCATGACCAGAATGAAATATGGAGCCGTACAAATTCAATGTTAGGTTGGATGAAGTTGATGAAGAAGCAAGACTTGCCCCTGTCACACCCCTTTTCACGCGGCGGCGTAAGGGTTTTTCCAATTTAAGTGACGTTATTAATTAAGGGATTATTTTGATTTTTTCAGAGTCGT